CGCACAATTAAATAATCGTCAGTAAAATGTCAATGAGGCAGTGCCAACGACGATGACGATGACGAGGATGATGACAACGAAGACAACGACGGTGACCAGGATGAAGATGATGCGCGCGCGCGCGCACTCGTAACAGGAACAAAAACAAACGACTCCGCAGGGCTTTTTTCCAATATCCCCTCGGGTGATCTCCTTCCCTTACCCACCTCCCTCCCCCCCCCACACAATGAGCATCCGTGGGGGAGAACTCTGAAAACAACACTAGAAGGACGCGCGCCAACTTTTGCCACCGCTACTTTCCTCGGAGATTCTCCGAACGTGCGGAAGGCCAAATGTACAATGGGAGAGACTTTTCTCTAAGTTTAAGCTTCGCGTTCTCCTCGTATGCACGCACGCACGCGCCCATAAGTGTATTTATGTATGCGAGATGAAGAAACGCCGCCACAAAATTGCTTCGTCGTCAAATAACCAAAGCAATATCTCGCACTCGCCTCGCGCTCGCACTCGTTGTACACGGAGCAAGACTCGGGTGTTAGTGGGGTTGACGGAGGGGCGGGCGGCAGTGGAGTTGACGGTGGCGGTGACGGTGACGGTGACGGTGGTGCGGTGGTGGTGGCGGTGGCGGTGGTGGCGCATATAGCTGTGGCGATTGACAGCGGCGGGCGGGGCAGCGGGACGGTAGAACGCTCTGATAGAAACAGCAGTGGGGACCGGGAGGGAGAAAGCGAGATCGAATGAGAGATGCGTAAGTCTGGAGAATCGTTGCCGAGGGCGACTGGGAAAACAGCTGCGCTTTTGTAGTAACGCGCAAATCTACGCATGTGTGTGTGACCATTGTGCCCATTATGCCGATTTTGTTGCTCCCATGTTTTTGCTTAAACTACGAGCGTCCATCCAGAAGAACTAGCGTCCCTATCGAATACGTAGGCACGCCATTTCTGCCATAAGTACGTATGTACATGCGTGTGCATGAGCGAGAAATGTGTGCGTAGCGCGCGTGCGCGCATTCGGTAAGTCTTATAGGCACGTTGCGCGTTCGCCCTCGGAGGTCGAAGTAGAGAACGAGGAAGAAGTGGAACGGTTAAAAGGGCTTGGAGGGAGAGAAATGGCAGCTGATTTTGACAATATACGCACTCGGTCGAGGTCCGTCGAGTAGCCACTAGTACCGCTGATGCGCGCATTCGTCGCGTTTCTTTTTTTGCATTCTTTGCACTTCCTCGGTGCCTCCCGGCGGCGGAATTGAGCCGCGGTTACGCAAGGCTCAATGGCGTCTTGGTATTACGAAGCTTCTCGTTAATCAGCTCAACACTGGTAAACATTGATCGAGGAGGTTGGTCGCACGTAGCAACGACGTTTATTCTGCTCTCTCGTCAACGAGCCTTGGAATCACCCTTTGAGGCACATATGCGCACGGGACCGGCACACTTGCCCACCCGAAGGTTTAGTTGCCGTGCAAAGGATGGACGAGACGAGTTCCTAGGGAAATGTCGAGTAAAAGGCTTCAAGGCGGTCGGCTTTCTGCTGCCCAAGCGGTAATTTTGCCTTGCTTTGACTCGAAATCGCTTTTCGGCATCAGCACATAGTCGTCTCCGCTAGTGAATACAGGGAAATCAATTCTCGTTTCGTGAGTTGCTGATTCGTTCATTTGTATTATTCAAGTGGCACTTGATTGTTTATGGCCAACTTTCGCTTTAATCAATTCGACTATCTCAACGACAATTTAGTTGATCCCCCCCCCCCCGCTTTCGCATAACTAACTCTCTAATCCATGCAAGCCATCGGTCTACCTATGTACTCACACGTACACTATTCAGACAATGTAAATATACCAACTATTTTACAATTGTTATATTCCTAAAATTAGATGATGAGCAAAACATTCATCGATAAATTAATTTCATTTCATTTCATCTTCAATACTTAACTTGCCAAATTTTTTAAAAGAGAAACTTAACAATTCAAATCGTAAAAGTTGAAGTATATACCAAATAATAAAAAAGACAATTTTTTTTATTCAATATTAAATTTTTATAGAATTTTTAAAAGTAGTTTAATAAGTTTCGGTTGAATTTATACATTCGAAAATGTTAATTATTTTCTTTGAATGATTGAATGATTTAAGTTTTAAAGAAATTATTTTAAAATTTTTACGAGTTATTAAATTTATTTAAGCATGAAAGAATATCAACTTTAAACCCGGAAATCATGATCGTCGCAATTTAAAGCTATAAGAAAACTCAATTTTTTCTCGGTTTTTCTTCTAACTTATAATTATTCACATCAAACATATAAATAATTAATTATACTCTTCAAAATTTGTGATTTTTCAATTTTCATAAGATAGCTAAAATGAGTTTGTGGTTTACAGATTTAAATAGTATGAAAGTAAGAGATTTGTTAAAGTAACTTTTTATACATTTTAATTAAATGTTAGTTTGATCGACCTACTTCTTATTTTAATTTATGTGAAGCAAAAATAGTTATAAAATGTTTAACCTTAAACATAAAAGTGAAATTATGTAACAATATTTGTTTGTAATACATGAAGTTTTTATATACATAATTTATGTTTTTCAACGTTTATTTATAAAATGCATAAAATTTAAACAACGGAATAAATAATGTACTAGCGATAACATGTAAATTTATTTAAAGATATCTAGTTAAAATTAAAAATTTTTTGAAAAACTTTTATTATTTATTGTATTATATTATGAAATCTTACTCTATACCATTCATTTTTATTATTCATTATTTCCTTTTTTCTTTCTTTATATATCATATTCATTATTTCTTTATATATAGTACAAATTATATGAATAAGACGTCACGTTGGAAAAGCGTTATTGCAATGAAGTGATCACAAAAATTTAACCTTCACTAACTACCGTAAATACGATTCAATTAAAAACAAAAAATATACCCTTGAGAAGTACAAAATACATTGGCTAAATATATAATCTTACCTTATATTTGAAAGCAATACAATATATCATAAAATTTTAAAAGCACAATTTTGTTTTTAATATGAATAATTTATATTAATATAATTTTATAAAATTATAATTATTTTCGTGCATAAATTATGCAAATAAACGTTTTGAATGTTTAGTAGGAAAATGTTTTTTATTATATCAATTTGTTTTCATTAAATTTTATATTACATTTTTCGAAATACAATTCTATGATAATTTTCAATTTTTGATATTTGAAGGATCTTAAAGATTAATTAATATCTAGTAACATTTGTTCAATAATTATTCTGTTAATAATAAAATAAAATTTTATATTTTAGGTAAAGGTTTTGCCTTGACGTTTCATTCAAATAAAAATACCATATACAATTACCAATAATTTATTTCAAAAGTTAAAAAGATAATAATTATAAGTACTGGGCATTAATATGGAAAACTAATTAAAGCAACTTTTAAACATTACTGTATTTTTTCACATGATAATACATTTTTCCACGACGAGAGCAACAAGAAGCCAAAAAAATTTGCAGTTGTAATCCAAGAATATCATCTTTCAATACGTAAGAGTTAACAGATCATATTATGTTACATTAATGGATTTCAAATTTTAAATAATCTACCGATTTATAAAATTCATTCTATAATAGCTCATAATAAATGCGCTCATAGAAACGTAGATAATTTTGAAATTCATCAATCATTGGAACAGTTATACAGGTTATTTATTATTCAAAGAAAACATTAATATTTTGTTTCTATTTTAAAATAATAGAATATTGCCAACAACAAAAGTTGGGATGAAATAAAACGTAGTAATGACTATTTAAGAAGCGTAGGTTAGTTTGCTATACATTGTAAATGAGACTACAAATATTTGCATTATTTGTGCCTAAGAATTTATTTGTTAAAAAAATTTCCAGTCACTTCTCGATATTGATTTCACTGACGTTATTGTGTAGAAAAATAGAAATTTGCTGCTATACCAAGATAATATATTTCATCATCTCTTTAACTATATCAACATTTTTTAATTACAATAAGATAGTGTTAAGTACAAAAAGCCCATTTTACGAATCTCCTTTTCGTCAACTTAACATTTCTGTCTAACTTAATACTGTTTTTATAATTTAAAAAAAGGTAATTAATGACAAATTTAATAGAATTAAGAAAATATTGGTAAATGTGACGAAACAATTGACTACAAGAAAAAAGTCAATTTTTTATTATGTAATTTAATGAAAATTATCAACTTTTTTTATTAAAAAGATTTTAAGCACTGGGTATCCGTTTCTTATGATACACTTGAAGCACAGAATTTATATATTGAAATTAGTTCCTTCAATATAATAATGAACTATTTTTAAGATTGGTTACGGAACTCTCTTATTCTATACATTTAAATGTATAACGATCGTATATAATATTTTACCATCAAAATGAACAAAAAGTCTGAAATATTTCAAATTTGTTTGAAAAGTATTTAATATATATGTATTTAATGTATAATATTATTTAGTTTATTTAAACCATTATATTATTTTACTATTACTATAGTATATATAGTAAATAGTATGATATTTATTTAAAAATATTTCGGTACGGCAAATATGACTAAATATAATGTTTGAGAAAGATTAGAGCAAAAAATTATTTTGTATAGATTATAAAAATTAACATGTAAAAGAAATGTAAGTTTGAATAATATAAAATTTTTTTATTTACAGAGTAATTTATTTGTTTAGTTTGTATTTAATTTTTTGTATTTAATTGAAAGATTTTTAGTTTAGTGGCTGCGTACATTAACAAAGAACAAAGAAAAATTATGCATGATGTGTGCGTATAAATGTATCTAAATTTGAACAACTGCTGAATTTCTGTTGAAATAGTATGTATCTATTTGAAAACTTATTTTAGTAAAAAAAAAAAAAAAAAAAAAAATTCTTAGTTTCTTTATCTAACATTAAACTGAATTACCACAATATTATAGATACACAATGTTTTCATCGTATGGCAGACTTTTTTTGTATCGTTAAAAATTTTATGAGAATGACGATGAAGCTCCATATTGTTATTCTACAATTGCGCACTCTAGTGTAGATTATATAAAAAGAGAGAACCATAATTGATGTATTGCTGTTATATATAGAAAATTTAATCAAATAAGAAATTGTTTAATATATATATATATATATATATATATAAAGATTAAAAATGATTATTCCTGTACGTTGTTTCACGTGCGGAAAAGTTATTGGTAATAAGTGGGAGGCTTATTTAGGTTTACTACAAGCTGAATACACCGAAGGGTAACATAACCTTATTCAATCATAAATTTCATATATTATTTTATTTTGTATAAGTAATAAATTTTATATATGCTTTTTTGTCAATATTCTGTTTAATGATGGTAAATAAATTATAATAAAAGCAATACGAAACTTTTATATGAATTTTGTAGTTTTATTTGACATTATTTTTAGAGTTGTTTTATAATTTATAATACGTAATAATATTATGCAAAATACAAGAAATGTATGTAAATATTGTAAATTTTTATAATGAATATGTTAGTATGAAATTTATATTTATCTATATTTATTAATAACATTAATATATTACTAAAAATAATTAACTATGTCGTTTTTTGAAACTGAATGTTAAAATAAAAACAATTTAAGAATAATTTTAACAATAAATAATAAAAGTTACTTTGGTAATGTGAGAGACAATATAAAAGCATTATTGAATATAACTGTTAGTAATTACTTTCAGATCTATAAACATTGAAAATTGAAAGTAAGTTAATTTACTTTGAATTGGATCAGCATATTATATTTTTTATTATCTATTGGTTAGAAACTCCATGAATTTATTTATATCTTCCATGAACTTGGATAAGGTTAAATTAATAAATTGCTATATTTAACAAATATTTTGGAAAAATGTATGCTTTCGATAATAGAAACTTCAATATTCTGGAAGCTATTAAACATTATACAAAATTTATTGTTTGTGTAAATAAATTTTTATACAATAAATATTATATATTTATAAAAAATAAAAGAGTATGTAATGCTTTTATTAGGAAATTTAAGTATAATTTAATCTTAAACATTTAGTTAATTATATTAATTCAATTAAGATGAAACTTTATTATCGATTATTGTTATGCATTTTAAACATTTTGATAAATCATGTTTAATGATTACATAACTGACTATTCTTTCATTGATGCATATTTTTATTATTTATAATTTTATTTTAATGTTTCTTTTTTTTTAATATAAAAATGTTTAATTATGAACAATCTGTCTTATTCCAGAGATGCTTTAGATTCATTGGGATTGAAGAGATACTGTTGTCGAAGAATGCTTTTAGGACATGTAGATTTGATTGAGAAATTATTAAATTATGCACCTTTGGAAAAATGAATATAATAATTATAATTTAATTGAATCTACATTTCTAATTCTACATTTATATTAATAATGCTATTGACGAATGACTTTAAAAGTGTGTTGAAGAAAAGAAACTATGTAAAAATTATAAATATTGCATGAATGATTAAATGTTTCACTTATAAAAAGATGGTTAAATAATATTGTATTTCACATTTTTAAATAAAAATAATGTGAAATAATTAAAATTCTTTTTGTAAATTATTCAACTTAAATTACATCTATATAAGGAAAAAATATACATTGTTATTACAAATTTTCATAAAGTATATTCTTATTATTGTATCAAAAAAACTTTATTTTTTAAAACTAGATCATTTCAAAACATATTTACAAAACATATTTTTGTTATACATGTGTTTAAAAGGTAATTAAAATTTAACACCTACTCAACATTACATTTTTTTTGTTCATCAGAACTGTATAAACCTATTATTTCTGCAATAGCACTTCGGGAGCCAAATACTAAGGCCAAAAGACCAATAACGCATATAATGACATTTTTCATCGCTACCCAATTAAATCTTCCAAATCCAATGTCCCAGTATGTTACAGTTTCTATAAAGACAGGAACTAGGAGACCCAGAATTGAAAAACAAAATGCACCAATTAAGCCTATGAAGGGGCCAATTGTCGGTACAGCTACTGCTAGTAGAACTGTAAACGAAATTTTTTTTAAATCATAACATGGATACTGGCAATTGTACGACTTTATTAATTGAATTTATTTCAAATCGATAAATACCTGAACCAGTAACTAGAACTGTTCTTAAAATGTAATTGGCAAGAAGGGGTTTTTTTTGGAAACGATCTTTAATGCCTGTCCAGGCAATATCAAGGCACACATAGAACTGTAAGCCGAAAGTGCAGTATACAGCCAAAGCAATAAAAACTTTTACTATTTGTGCTGGGCTGAAATAAATATAATTACTTGGTTATAAACAATTTTCAATACATAATTATATGACTGCAGTTTAATTGTACAGGACTCACATCTCAGCTATTGGTAAATTTAACGTAATACTGTCGCAAGTATTATTACCGTATCTTACGTATCCTAAAAAGCCAAGGAGAATATAAATCAATGTCACTCCTGACATTCCTTTATTCAGCACTCCGCAAATTCCGATAAAATTCTGTGGTGTTTTCATATTATTCTCTAATGGCATCACCACTCCTAAGAATAACAAGTATTATGAAATATTGAGAGAATTTTTATTATCAAATGATAAATTTTAATTACTAATACACTTTAATCACATATAATATATATTACTATATAATTATAGATTATAAAAGTATAATATCAACATCATTACTGTCATGATATTTGAGTTATTAAAATTTTTTGAAATTTCTATTAATAAATAAAAAAGCTGATTAAATTAAAGATTTCGCATAATATTTTTGTTGCTTATAATAAACGATATACGTACCAATGGCCTCCATGGCAAAAATTGTGATACTGAAGAAATTTGGAAATTCTGAAACATTTGCCATAAATGGTATTTGTTCTCTATCTATTGGCTTCATATCTTTGACGAGATAATAAAACGTAATTCCTAGTCCAGTGCCCATGAAGACATTTGCCACCATAGAAACGGGAGCAAGATACTTTAGATTGGGTATCCAGCTAAGAAGGATCATTGGTACCAAGAGCAAGGATATAACAAGTCTCTCATCTACCCCATAGCCAAGGTAGTGGTCGATTATCTGTTTGAAATTTGCCGCAACAATTACGGCGTAAACGCTGCAGGTACCATAATAAGTTATAAACAAACTTATTTGTATAAGATATCTGTAACGAGAAATAGAAAAAATTAGCATTCTATTTTTATTAAGAACGAAACAACTCATACACGTTAATACAAACATATTGGAAAAACACCCAGTCTGAATTTTTATTATAAAAAATATCAACATAGTTTGATGTTTATATTAGCATACTATCCATGTTTCGTTTATTTCCATTTAATATTTATTTTAAACTATGGTTCGTGAAAATTGTTTGATAAAACGGAACGAAATAATTTATTTTGAATTTTAACTATTTGTAATCTAGATTATTATAAGTTTGGATCCTGAAAATATAATAATAATTCACGAGTTGGTACTTGTATGCAATTATCATTGGTAAAATAATGTAACGTTAGTTAATATATTGTCATTCTTAATTTATTTAGTTTTTTTTTTCTTTGAAAGTCTTAATTTATGGCAATCAGAATTAAATTATTTGAATTTATTAAGGTATGTATTATTTATTTTAAATTTCCGTGGATAGCGTCATGATTGGAATTGTTTTAAAATGAGAAACCAGCAGTTATGGTGGAAAATAACAAAATAATTCTATCAACAATTATATTGCAATATAATAAGTCTAACAGCAATTATCTTGTCTAATAACAATCGATATTATTGGTATATTTGTTAATTAATTTAGTTAATTAATCATAAAATTAAAAAAAACATTATTAAAAACAACATCTATTTTCCAACTATTGTAATATATTAACGTTAATATGTATAAAGTAATTTAAATTAAAAAGACAAGATTTATGAAAGTTCAAGTGTTTTATGAGATCGGAATTTAAATCAAATCTTTTTACCGTTATCTACAAACAATATTTATGTTTCAATTATATCATTGATCTATTTAATAAAAATATAAGTTTCACCGAAATTCTACTTGAAAAGAATTTTATTCGGTATATTTAATTTGCGTATTGTACTAATGGATAACAAGGCTTATATATTTATAAAAGGTCATTATAATTGCCTTTTATTCGTCCATTCTTCAACAAGTAGATATTCGATAATTCATTATAACAATACAAAGTAATGATATGAGAATAGTGCATGTTTACGATTGTGCGGATAATAAAAAAAATGTTACATAAGTTATATTTGATTAGGAATATATTGATAGGCTCTGTATTCTTTGTCATCCTACTGCAATCCTTATCTATAGAGTGTGTGCTTTCATTCTAGGAACCACTAAATAATTATTACCTATTGAGAATTGTTATGTGAAAGATCATTAAATGTATATACATATACATACATATATATATATATATATATATATATATATATATATATATATATATATATATATATATATATATACCTGCTTTAGATTATATAATCTACATATTAATCATTATACGAAAGGTAAAATCAAATAACATCTACACATATGTGATCGATAATAAATTCAACAAACAAATGTCTTATTTGATAAATTAATTTCAATCAAAATTAATATTGTTTTGTTAACTATTCGTAAGGAAGTCTCAGATTTGTTTATTGTTTTTATTTAATATCATCTCGATCTTTTTTCTCTATTTAACTTTTTTTAATTTTATTTCGTTTTTTACTTATATTTTATTTCTTAAAATATATTCAATAAGATAACCTCGTATCTATATAAATGTCTTGTGTGGTGGATTAATAAGGTATTTATCTTTAAATATACTTGAAAACAAATTTAGAAAGGCTTTCTTGATATAAAGAAGCTATAGAATTTATATTAAAAATATATATATATATATATGAATGAATCAAAGTACTATTTTCTGTTTTTCAAATTCTGTATATTAAAATTTCAAATCTATGAGAAATTAATATGTACGTATATTACCTAGATGGTGCAGCAAAAGGCCGGGCCCATTTGGGTCCGCTGGCAAAGGCAGTTTCGGCAACATCCGCAAAACTCATTTCTGTTCGTCTCGTTTTAAAATAAAGGACGTGGGCACATTTAACCTGCGAATATATTTATAATATAAATAATTTATTATTATATAGTTAATCCTTGTAAACAGCATGTCTCTGATATTTTATTGAGTAATCAGACTTTTAGTCTGATATATAGTCTGAATAAATTATATTCTAAAAATTAGATTTAAATTCTATATTGATGATGAATACTTTCAATTATGAATATATTTAGTGGAACTACGTATGTATTACCGTGTTCTTTAATGTAAAACATATATTAATACTAATAAAAAAAATTAATAGATAAATTTATCGACGAGAATACTCTATGAATGTAATTAAACATTAATTACAATTGGTTGTTCTATTACACTTACAAGAATATAGGCACAATGCGTGCAAACGAATGCAACAAGGATTGTCGCAAGAACTCCTACTACTAGTCCCGCACTTCGAAAAGCGACAGGCATTGCCAAAATTCCTGTTCCTAATGACGCTTTTAGAAGGTGAGTTAACGTATCACAATCTCTATAAAATAAAATATAAACATGTTTAGTTTGTTTTTAAATGAAATATCTTATTGAATATTTTTGCGAAATTTTAATATATAACGAATTAACTTCTGTATAAAACTTATGCAATCTTCTATACTATATAAAACAGGGGTCACAATTGTTTAAATTTAATGAAAAAAATTTATATAAGAGAATTGTAATTCGAGTAACGTACATAATATAGTATTTCTTTACATTTATGAATAAATTATTATAATGTATTGTATTTTTTATGTTACTCGCAATCATTTATTTTACGAAATAAAACGTTCTTGTTCATTAAGAAAATTAATTTGATTAGATATTCGTTCAATTCTTTATTCTATTGTATGTATAATGCATAGGACTTTTCTTTGCAGTTCTTTAAAAATAAACTGTTTATAATCAATGCTGATATTAAGTAATATAAAGGAATAAGATTTATTTCAAATGAATCGGTCAAATTGCTAACAATAGCTTTATATGTATTATTTACATACGTGATATTCCATAATTTTAATACATTATTAGTCGAAAATACTATCATGAAAACTATTATTGATTGTTAGAGACTTTATATAACAAGTGAAATATAAAAGTGAATATTTAAAGATTCAGATGTGTACCGTCGACTTTGGAGCTATGTTAAGTTACACGTAATATTGATAAAATTATAATATATAAAATAATTATATTTAAGCTATATTTACTGAAAGTCTGGTTTTGTCTTAAATAATTTTATAATTAAAAATTTAAATAAATAAATTAAATTCGTCCAATAATTTGAAACTTGTTACTGAACGTAATAACTTCATAATAAAGTTTCTTTTTGTTCGTTCAATATTTTAATTTTACTTCCTTACTTTAAACTATTAAATAAAAAATAATAAGGCCAAAAACTATTATTCCATAGTAGCATATTTATTAATAAATTTAAAATAAAAAATACGTACGTTGTTGGATTGGGAACTTTACGTTCTGTGAACGGATCAAAGTTCTTTGCATCTCGTATGGCAGTTTCAACATCACGCGGGACAACTTGTACTTTGTACCTGTAAAGTTCAATGAAATATAATGGAACAACATTAGAGAAAAGATTTTTGAATAGATATTATATATGTATTATTTCACGACTTATTTCTATTTTCTAACTTTCATTTTTCGTCCATGTCTTAACGATATATAGATATTTTAAAATTTCTACTTAATAATTTTTACGTAATATCACCTTATAAGACTTATTTAAAATTTAACTAAAATTAAAAAATTTTATAATTAAGAAATGAATAAAAGTAATAAAAATAAAAAATAAAATTTTTATAAAAACTCCAATGCACTATTCTCAGTCATATCGTTCTTGTGCTATTATCTGATTATAAAGAAATAGTCTTCTATCTTTAATATTACAATATAGACATTCGTCTTCCTGCGTTTTCTTCTGCGTTTGCGTAACTATTATGCACTTAGGTATAGTCTAATCGATAGCCTTATTTCAACCAGGGACAGGAAACCGTTTAATTAAAACAGTCACAAATGACCAGTGCTGGAGGTCGCTGCACTCATTTTATTATCTTTAAAACTCCTTTTAAACTTTTTTTATTATCTTTGTTATTAATTCATACTTATTATTCATTCCACAGATGCACTTCGTTAATAAAGCACTACGTGATGTTTAGCGAGAAAACAGAAATTTTTATACATATTGTTTATTATTTCAATATTCTTCAAGAATCACACTTAACCATTCTTATGTTTAAATTAATCAACTACCTGTGCTAACTTTTATTTGACCAATACCGCTGCATTTGTTTTAAAGTAATTGTTTCTGAAAACTTATTTTTATTATCTAAAATCTGAATTATCTAAGAAATAATAATATAACGAATTATAAATTATGATATCTGATGTAACGCCATTTTGCTTTGAAATAAAAATATTTTTATCAAATATTTCACATACGATATTAGCATTAACTACTTCATTTATTACAAAAATTATGACTAACCAATATGATTTTTCGTATAATTTTTTCAGAAACCATCGCACAATATATTCTTTACACAAAATAAATTATATATAGCATAAATTTGTATTAAGAACTTATTATACTACCGACTTAATAATTAATTAATATTAAAATATATTTAATTAGCATATTCAATTAACTTAAGGTACAATTAACAATAAGAAGTACTGGGATTTGGCATTGAATTGATTTATGTAACTACATTTCATATTTAAATAATGTGTTCAATTTTTCAACACAGTAATCGTATATATGAGGTCAAAGGGTAATAACGAATAAGACAAAGCATTTCCATAACAAAATTTAAAATGAAAAGCTTTATAATTAAATTAACACTTTACGATTAAAAACGTTCATTTTTTTTCTTTATTGATATCACATGTTTAATAAACAGTCTGATTTTTTCAATAAAATAAGCTACGTATTATTTTAGTTATATTAAAAAAAAAAAAAAAGATTATTTGATTAAATAAGCAATTATAGACCTTGAAATAACCAGTAATTGATTTCAATCAAAATAAAATTTATTTTTCGTTAGAAACTTACTTGGCAGTGAGGACCCCATCTTTTAAATTAGATCCGTCTTGCGGAAGGAAAGTATCTAATTCTGTTGGTGCTTTATGATTTTCTTCAACCTGTATACCATTGCAACAAATTTAATAAATGTTTTGTCAATATTAAAGAATATTGTATTATTATTTTTAATTTTTAATATTTACCATTTTTACTAATTTTTTTTTGTTTCTGTCTGTATTTTCAAATTATCTACAACATAAAAAATAAAATGTTAATTAAAATATATGATTATTTTTAATTTTTTATATTTTATGCATTAAATTTACACTTTACATTGTCAAAAACAATTAGATCTCGATAATTCATTGGTATTTTGTCAATTCGTTATTCATTATTGACGAAAAGGGTTTGTACACAGGATTTTTTTCGTAAACAGTTTATTGGAAAAAAAAGATTTATTATATTATGTATATTTAAGTATATATAGATTCAATAAATCAATAGTTTTCAAAACACTTAACCAGAAATACCTTATATATTTATATACATAAATGTATGGCTGATAATCCTAATTCTCAAAGAGACCTCAAAATTTGTCAGAAATAGGACAAGAATATTTTTTGTTTACATTATTATTGAATTTAATTAAATGAGGTTTAAAATTAAACATATAAATAATTAAAAATATTTATATGAAAAGCAATGATTTTTTTATATGATAGATTACTAAATTTGTGGAAAGTAATTCGATCTATTTAACAAGTTACAATAGCTTTTAAGTAAAAAGTTATGAAATAAAGTTGTATAATCATGTTTGTTCTTTTGTTACTTTTAATATTAATTTATTGTTTGAACTTTTTTCAAATTCTAAAAATGGATTTTTATACAAAATTGATAACTATTGAGATATAAATATTTCTTCACTACTGAATCTAACTACATTTTTGTATGTAGGAAATATAATAAAAATTATAAGTAACTAACAATATAGTAGATCTGTATTATTATTTATGCATTATATCATTATTAATAATCAAATGAGTTATAAAATTGTATTATCATTATACAGATACAAATTAAAAGAAATTCCAAATACAATTCTTCTGCATAGATTAACAAAAAGGAACATACAAAGGTTCTACAACTGTCCTGTAAACCAATTGATTCAATATATCAATTATATATTTGCATTATTAGTGTAATAACCTAGAAATTGATTTTCTTCGAGACTTTTGAAATCCTTGAGCAATATATTAAGGAAACATGGTTATGCAATGCAACTAGACTACAGATGTTCTGGAAAAAAACCGTTGAACTTCTTATTTTGTCTTATCTTGAAGTTCTATATTTATATTTGAATGCATCGTACGTATCCTATGATTTGGGAGTAGATTTTATTATGTAAATTATATGAAATTAAAAAATCTTACTTTACAAATTGCAGCAATTTTTTTTTTTTCATTTCGTACTTCCTCTTAATTAAAGACATACTTTGTTTATATATGAATGCATACATATGTATATGATAAAATTTAATTTTGCATAAAATCAAGTCAAGTTATTATGATTTATAAAATATTTGCATTAGTAAACTTCTACTTTTCAATTGTAATTAAATAATGATCAATATTTTTCATCTAGAATGATATCTATGTTAAGTTTAAAAATAAAAATGTATAAATATAAAAAACTATTTTGTATTGTTATATTTGTTTTAATTATATTAAAATCTACTAGTTAATATATTATTACAAGAAACATACATTAAGAATTTTTTATATAAGAACATCGAAAGTGGAGCGTAATAAAGCTGGGATATAAAGAAACCGCTATATATAAATCTATAAACAAACTATTGTTTAAGAGAAGTGAAAAATGTTTCGTTTTACTGCCGCAATGATAATTATATAATTAAAAAGGTTTTGTTTCTTAATACTAATTAATTATAATAAATTACAATAAATCTACATCGATTGTTTTAAAAATTATTATATAACAAGTAAAAGAAAATATTTTTCGCTGCAAAATTATTTATAAATAAATTTTTAAATACATACTTAATTAGCTGTTTTTCTCATAATATTTTTAGAGCCTTATAAGGAATGGAAATCGTAACAGCTTACATTCGTACAGGTTATATATTATTTGTTTTTTAAAACCACGTAAATGTATGAAAAAATATAATCACGTCAATTTTACCAATAAGTATTTGCTTATCGCTTTACACATTACGGGTTTTATAACATTGAATAAAAATGTATTTCACTATCGACTGTATTAGCATATGCTTTATAAATTGTAAATATTTAGTCGATATTGTATAAACTGTTTTGTCTAATCATTACCTTGTAACGCATCAAACTTCTTTCATTATTGTACAGGTTACGTTCAACGTTCATACTAGCTTAGCTACTTTCTTATATTAATTTTACATAATTTTCACGAATGATAAATAAGTTAAATAATAAAATAGCACTCTCTGAGTTGAGGTAAACTTTCGGAATTAATATTATTACCTTCATTTATCGATTAATAAACACATATACTGAGCATTGTAATATTTATTATTATAAATATATATTAATGAATATATTCTTTACTGTGAAAGTATGTGTTTACGATTAGAATTTTGTGAGTTGAGTGCTTACATTAAAATTTCAATATAGTTATAATATAACAACTGACTTCAAAGATAAATATGACTATAATTTTTCTATTCTTATTAATATTTGTCCTATTTTTTTTTTTAATTTAATTATTTTAATTTAATTTAAAAATTAGAATAAATGCTGATAATATCAAACATCGTTACAGTGAACATAATTTATAGAAAATAATATACAATAGAAAATATCGTTTGAAATACTGAAAAATTATTTACAAATTGATATGTGTACAAAAAATAAAACAGTATTTTTATATTCCCTCATTATATAATAATTGATAAATCATATAAATGGTAATAAAATAATGTATTTTTAGAGTTATTAAATCTCAACTATTAAAAATGCTAAAGTTTAACAAATTAATAATTTTTGTTTCAAAGAACCCAGTTTTTTCAAATATTACATTCATTGTTCTATAATATCATTCTTGTATATTCTATTATGTAAATTTTTTGTGAATATTAATAATGCATTTATGTATACATAAATTCGAATTGATATCTACTTTTTAAACTTTAAAAAAATAATTGTGTAAAAATAAAAAAAAAACTATTCAAATAATTAAAACCAATTTCAATTTGAAAAGGTAAAAAATAATTTCGATGTCTGTAAGTTATGCAAGCGGTACTGCAAAAATTCTTTTGTGGTTTTGCGGTATTGGTAGATCATAAGCATAAATATATATTGCCAATAATATTAACGATATTTTTTCGAATCAGATTTCACATCCAAGATAAAATAAAAATTTTTTTTTAAACTTGTAGGAATATTAAAAAAAATTGTTATTTCATATAGCATCATTAATTTATATTGCAGATATTTTTATTGCTACTAGAATTATAATGTTTTAAAAAAATAAAATTTGAAAAGTAAATAATTTAATATGAAATTTTTAAATGGTATGCAGTGAAGATGATCATGTTTTGTTTAACAATAAGTTGAATTGTTAAATCTGTTAATAAATCATTTAAAATATTTATTTCTATAAATAATGTTGTTAAAAAAATTATTCATCAATTGCAAAATCATATGAACCACATTATTTGCGTATATGATACTTAATCAATAAAGGTTTGAATTTCCATAATCAATTAAAAACGTCAATCTTAATCATTTCTGTTTTTTCGCATGTTTAATTTTAAAATGCCTTATTCATATTATTTTGTAAATTAAAGCAGAAAATTTAAATTAAGAATAATCAACCATTAAACGATAATTTGACATTATTTTAAAGCAATCATTAAAAAAAATGTCAAAGTTATATGCATCAAGCACCGTTATTACTTTATACTAATAATATCTATTATTTAAATTATTAATATTAAAAAAAAAAATGGTTTGTTAAAAATTCATACTCAGAAATTCAACATTTTGTTATATTATTCTTTAGTATAATACGTATATAAAGAGATTAATACAAAAGCATATATGACTCCTAACATGATAAAGTTGCATAACTTTTCGACTCATAACTACAAGAAACTACAAATTCACGCAGAGCATATTTTTGAGCAGTGTACATTTCTGTCCCGAGGTACAGCAATTTTTCTAAATGCGTCACAACTAAATATTCCAGAATCTTAACAGGAATAATTAGAGCAAGGAATCCTCTGGTCTGATTAGCTTACGGATGTCTATCCGAGAAGAGGGAATTCTATATAATCTATTATTATACGCCGACAAATGTGTACTTGACAGCATTTAAATACGAAGTTAACTTTTTAAATACAAACGTTTAATATCTTTGGAAAATCACTTGTTCAGTTGATTAATGTAGTTTTGTTTAAAAAATTTTTTATGGATATTGTCGTTTAAAATCATAGGTTATTTAGAATTGTACGTTAACACGTAATAATGTAGCACCAATAACGGATGAAAATGTCAAAGGCAAAGAAACTGCTTTAATTACTTCATAGGTGCTGATTCAAACGATTATACGTAAACTTTTTTTTTTTAACCATGAGCTAAGCAGACTTTATTTGTAAAAGTAGTTTCATCTATTATGTAAATAATAGTATGTTAATAAAATATCTAGAGTCCTTTAATTAGATATATATAGTGAACAATATGCACATGTATATACATACAGAATATTATACTTCATTTCTTATCAGTTACTTCTGTATTATTTCTGTTTTCTAAATTTTTAACAGCGTTAAATTTATCCGCAATATTAATAATTACTTCATTATTGTTAATTAATTTTATGAATATAAGAACATTAAACACCTTTTTCTTAAATCATAATATGTTCACAATTTTATATATGTAAGAGTATATATAAAGTATATATAAGAATTGTGTAATTAGAGGAATGAACTGTAAAAATTAAAATGTTTAAAATTCTACACGAAAAATTTCGAACATATAGAATTTAACTTATTTACACGCGCGCGCTCAAACACACACACACACACACACGCACGCACACACACAACCAAGCAATTTTTTAAATGCATCTACATTGTCATATACATTAAATTAAATAAATAATAGAATAGCATAAAAGGATAAATATTTAACAATAAGTTACATGCGTGGTTATATGCGTTATTATTAAATAGTCC